GGGGATGGATCCTGCCTTCTGGATCCATTTCTCTTCTCCTTCCCATCTCAGCTCATGGGGCAGGGGCCATGCTGGCCCTGCCCCCAGCAGGATGGGGGATGCGGGGATTACAGGGAGGAACTTCCTCTTTGGCACTTAACTTCCTGCTTTCTCTCTCCATTATCAAATTGCTGCTGGTGCTGGAGAGCTCGGGCGGGGCATGACCCAGATCCCTGGCACGCTAGAGGGCTCTGCCAGCAGGGGCGTTATGGCCCAGGGCATGCCCTTCCCAGCCTGTAGAATGCAGTGAGCATTGGGGAATGGGGGACAGATTTGCCTCCAGTCCCTTCTCCATGCGTTCCCAGCTCTTACTGGAAGGGATTCCAGCCCCAGCAATGCTGTCCCATGGCTGAGGACCCACGGTGCCATCCACGAGCCTTAGGGCTCAGGATTGGCCAGGGGCCCAAAGGGGTGGGGGTTAGGTGTGGAAGGAGCTTAACTGCCTGGCAGGATCAGGCTGGAGGGCCACCGACTCCAAGAGGAAGAGTCACATTAGGAATGAACAATGAATTATCTGATGGAGGCAAACACCCATGCCTCCACACCCCAGCAGCCTCTGCCCATGCCGACAGCCCCTAGCCCTGGGCTCTTGCCCCCACTGTGCCAGTGCCCCTCAGTCCTGACCCCACAGCCCCACCCTCCCCGCTATTGCATTGCTGGGTTGCCCGTCCCCCAGGGTATTTATAATAAATTGTGCCAAATAGCAAGGTGCCAGTCCCTCACCTGGCAACTCGTTTCACCCATGAGCGATGCCAAACCCAAACCCAGGTCTGTGCAGGTGAAAGTGCCCCCATTGGGCCACATCTCTGCCCTCCCAGGGAGATGGGTGCTTTGCTGGGCCCTAGCCTTGGGGGCGCCTGGGCCTCGTGCCAAAGGAGAAGGAAGAGTTGCCTGATGCCAGTGCTGTCAAGCTGGCTGGGGTGGGGGCCGAGCTTTGTGGCGGGGGGGGGGAGGGTGTTGCTCAGCTAGCCGGGGGGCCAGTGCCAACACCAAGTGCTGTGTGTCTGAGTGCTGCCCCCTCCCATCCATAGCCCCCTGTATTATCGCTCCAGCCAGACACCCTACTCCTCTCCCCTCCCCCATTCAGTGTTATAACCCAACCCCCCACTCCCCCTCCCCCCAGGGGCAGGAGGCTCTTGGGGTGACTTAACCCTGGGTTCCTTTTCACCCCCTCCATGGCGGGATAGGAGAGAGGGCAGGGTATGGGGGGAGCATTTGGCAAGGGGAGTGGGGGAAGGGTCTCCCTTCCCCTGTTCCCCCCACGTCTCCATTGTCTCCTAGCCCCGAACCGCATGCAAACCTGGCTGTGCTGCATGCGCCCCCCTCCCCCACCCCGTGTGGTGAGTTCTGCCCGTTCTGCCAATGGCTCTTTTTTTCCCCCTTGGGGGGCAATTTTCTTGGGGGGAGGGGTTGCCTCTCCCCCCTCGCAGTGTCTGTAAATATTGGTTTCTGGTCCGTCTCTTCTTGGGGTTATTAATTTTTTGGCCGATTTTTGAATGTGATTTTAACGAGTGGAGAGGAAAAAAAGATAACTGAGTTTTTATAATAAAAAAGTGAAAAAATGGGGCTCTGCCTGTGGTGGCCGGCCTGCGGGACGGGCTGGGCTGGGGCAACTCAGAACCGGGGACCCCACCCCTTCTGGCAGCCTCCTAGACAGGGGTCACTGGGGATCCTGCTCCATGGGGGTGGTACACAATGGGGGGCTCAACTGGGAGATCCTGGGCCTTGGGGGGCAGGAAGGGTTGTGGAGGGCTCAGTTGGGGGATCCTGGGCCATGGGGTTGTATGTGGAGGGGGGTACATGCTAGGGGATCTAGTGCTTTCAATGCTGAGCCGCAGCTCCCCCAGCTGTGCCCCCCAGCTCTGCCAATGCATCCCTTCCCCCTATCAGTTTCGGTTCCCCTCTGCTGGGCCTTGTGGTTGTATCAAAGCCGCGCCCCCCCCCCCCCCCCCCCCC